TCATACAACAGATTAAATGATCTGACACAAAATAATATTAAAAAATGATTAAAACAAAGATAAGAGAGTTCGTTGCTTACAGAAGGGATATATGAGTTACATACTTTCAAAAGTAGACGAAGAGAGATAGTTTGAAATACTGAGCTTTCTTGGATTGTTGGGAGAAATTGAAGAGCCGCGTGTTTGGTTAGAAGCCGATATTATAATTGGGGAATAATTTTACAATAGCAAAAACTTCAACGTTGGTTGCGTGGAACGGAAACGAAACCTCTCACATGCCTTTAAACACTTTTTTCGGATTAATTAATTTTTTTCCTCATTTTATATCAAAGGGAATTTCACATTGAATCGCGAATTCTTTTCCGTCTTTTTCCTCAGTCATCCGAATTTGGACGGAGTGGATAATGGAAGTTATTATTATTTTGCACTCACTAAATTGTCCGTAAAATATTAGTTAATAGACATGTTAATCCATGAAAATTTGCATTTCACTTGAAATTAAGATTATGTCATTTCGTAAATGAATATGTTTAATTCGTATGAAACTTCATTCTATAGGATTTTTTAACAAAAAAATCCTACGAAAAAATAGTTCAAAGAAATGTTTGGGTTAACAACAATTTATGGGCACACAACAAACGACACAGACGACACGGGCCGAGTTTAAAACAAAGATAAAAATTATGCTTAATACACAAGAAAAAGAATTACACGAATTTAGTGCTTTTTGTGCTTAATGTTGGCCAATAACATGTAATTATCAATGAAATGAAAAATGCCTTTTTAGAATTAAAATTGTATTGCTGCATAAGAAGGCCCTCGAAAAAGAAAACTACATAAAGTGAAGAAAAATAGAAATACTTCTCTGTGGAGTTTCCAAAGAGAAACTTCTTACGCTTTTTTAAGCAAAGTTCGTGGTAAAAGCAAAGATTAGTATCTGTCTATATTCCTGAGATGAGGTATTATGTACATTATTTACATTATTCGGACTATTGTCCTCATCTTTGTCGCCATATTTATCACAACGTTTCGGCCGTTGTACGCTCCAGCCTTCTTCAGATGGTTGGAATGTCGAACTGAACCCTTTATTTCGCTCACTGGGGTAGACTGTTCTAGTTCCACTTGCCATGTTTAATGGATATCAGTTATCAGTTATCTCCTGTTAATTTCCCTCTGAAAGTTCTCCACTGCCTTAACCGGGTATTGAACTCAGACTCTTTGGGTCCTGTCACTGTATCTAACCAACAGCTTTATCTACTGTGTCATATGTCCTTGTTGTGTCCGGGTTGTTCTATTCAATTATCGTCTGGTCTTTTGCTTCGACTCCGAAAATCAATTTCAATGTCCCTTCAAATAACCCACAAGTAGACTTCAAATGTGCTGCTCATAATTGTGGAGGGAATCCTTTTCATTGGTTTTGGACGAAAAACAAACCCAGCTGTTTTACCACTAATTAAAATTATAAATATTTTCTAAATTTCAAAATTAAACAATAGTCCATCACAGCGTCTGCTTTAACGCCGAAAGTTTCATCCATGGTCATGTAGCATAACGTTTTTAATAATACAATGTGATAATTACGTTTTGGGATGGAACAATAAATATGTCTGACAGAATTAAATAAGGCAGCCTCCTTAAAAGTATCTTAAGAAGAAACTCTACCTGTATAACAAGCAGCATGCAAAAAGACTGTTCATTAAAAAGGACATTGATCTGTGATGAAACTTTATGTGGATAACATGCAGAATAAAAAAAAACAGAGCCTTAAAATTGATCTTGCTTGGTGATGAAGCTACATATATTTAAGATGCAGAATGATTTAAGACAGACTCATTACAAAAGTCCCCTTGATTTATAATGAAACTCTGCATGTACAACATGCAGAATCGAAGAAAAAGGACACTTAAAAAATATTCTGAATATCACTCGGTTAAGTAAACTATTTGTTTCTAAAGAGAATACTTTTTATTCAATGTCTTATTCGCTTCTTTTTTTTTCTTTTTGCTTTCTTTTTCATTATTTTTATAGGTTTTGTATTTCTTTGGATAATGTTATTTTTGCTAAATGTTATCTGCATTTATTGCCGTATAATCCGTCACCATTTTCGGGAAAAATCATTATTCGCAGAATTTTTAAAAGATTAATTTTATCTTTTCTTTTTCATTCAATTCATTCGCTCCTTAAATTCATAGCTTCCTTATTTGCCATTTATTTATTTATTTATTTTTTGGTGCCATCAGTCGTCATCAGCCTCAAGATTATCATTAAAATCGTTTAAAAAAATATATACTAAGACCGTTTGTGGGCTACGATGTAACTGGAGCTTTAGCTTAGTTTTCTTTGCTATAATAAATTTAAAGTTACTGCATATAAACATATAATTTGGTGTACTTTCCTTTTTACTTTCAGGAATATTTAATCGCAAATTGAATCCTTTCTAAATTGGTTTGATCTATAAAAATAAATGCAAAAGAGATACTTCATGCTTTAAAAGTTCACAAAGGTTTTTTTTTTTAAATGATTCATCAGTTTCAGAATCGGCATATTTGTATATTTTTAAATAAATTGTTAAGATTCGGCAAATGCCACCTATGGTTTAATCAGTTTTGGACGAGGGAACTAACCCTCAAAGATTTCCCTTCGTTCTGAAAGACTGATTTCAGACGACATTGATTGTCTCCACACTGTAAATGAAGAAAATCCCAAGCCGATAAGACAACAGTTTAATAAAATTTACACAATAATCATAAACAACGTCCATAGAATTATCATTATCATCGTCGTCGTCATCATCATCATCATCATCATCATCATCATCATCATCATCATCATCATCCGTTTCATGATCTGAGCACCTGGCTAGCTCCCTCCAAATGTCTCGGTTGCGTGCCAATATTTCAGTCCCTATGAAGGATCTTCCAGTCCACTCGGGGACATTGTCAGACCATTTTTCCTGTCTGCCTCTTCTTCTTTTGTCTAAAATGAAACCTTGTAGGATATCAGTGGAAAGATTCTTGTCAGTTATGACTTCTCTATACCATCTCAGCGTTCTTTTCTTGACAGTGGATATGATGAAGGCTTCCAAATGACTTGTTTCTTCTCTGATGGTGTCTCACGTCAATTGTAATGCAGTTCACATAGGAGATATTTAGGATGGTTCTACAACATTTAATTTATAATGCCATTTTCTTTTCGTTTACTCTTTATTCGTTTGATATTTCCTTTCCTTTCTAAATCAATTTCTTTCCATCTTTGATTTCCTTTTGCCTTTTTTTTTAGCTTAACTTTCACTTTTCATTTTATAAATACATAATATTTGATCTAGAAAAAGCTCATATGACGTTAAAACTTACTACCATTACTTTTCAAAAGGGTTTTACGATCAAGACGAGAACCACGTGACCCGTCACACGAGCGCTCAACACCAGGCATTTAAGCCAATCGAAAAGCGTTGAAAAAATACTTAAAATTTCGACTGTAATGCCAAAGTTTCAAATAGTAATTATTTAATTCTGTTGAGGAAAGCTAAATAACAAAAAAATATTTGCTCAAATGTAATCAGTAGAATTCTTAATTTTAATTTTATAAATCTACCATTCATCTGTACATTGAATATTGCTGACACCTCTAGTCTGGTGCTTCTGCTATGTATTTACAACTGTTCAATCTTTTCAAATCGATCCTAACTGATTATACTTACTGCGTTTGATCCGAACCCAGAAGCACACGGATCAAATAACAAAAGTCCCAGAATGTAGTAATAACTTACTCGAAACACCATAGATAAGTGGGGTTCACCAGCAACTTTCTGAACACGGCACAGCGATTCACAAAAGTTGGAATAAAAGACAGGGTGGATATAATCATCACCATGAGAGGAGTTGCCAAAGGTGCTAGAGAATTTGTGAAACAGTGAAATAGTACACATTAACTGAATGTAGTGTGGAACTTCCTTGCTATCCTTGCTGGAGTGTACCTGACTCCAGAAAGTACCAAACTCCTTCTACCATGGTCCATATTTCCAAAAGATAGATCATATCAAAAATAGAATATTGGTGCCATATCTGGGCTGGAGCTGTTCAACCTTCACCTTCCAGACTTGACAGGCCAAAAGCGTTTACATGGCTGTGTAGTTGAATTATTTTCCACCATACAACCCCTTTCTCCTAGACTAAACGTTGTGTAGTTGAATTATTTTCCACCATACAACCCCTTTCTCCTAGACTAAACGTTGTGTAGTTGAATTATTTTCCACCATACAACCCCTTTCTCCTAGACGAAACGTTGTGTAGTTGAATTATTTTCCTCCATACAACCCCTTTCTCCTAGACTAAACGTTGTGTAGTTGAATTATTTTCCACCATACAACCCCTTTTTCCTAGACTAAACGTTGTGTAGTTGAATTATTTTCCACCATACAACCCCTTTCTCCTAGACGAAACGTTGTGTAGTTGAATTATTTTCCACCATACAACCCCTTTCTCCTAGACGAAACGTTGTGTAGTTGAATTATTTTCCACCATACAACCCCTTTCTTCTAGACGAAACGTTGATAATTTCAGTCTAACTTTTTATTTTAAAAAATTAAAAGGGAAATCGAGATCTTCGTCGTGTAATGACTCTTATCAAGCTCTAGCATTTCTGCAGAGCCCAGACACGTTATCCAAACAATATTTATTCTCGTCGGTCATGTGAAATTCCATACATTTATTCTATCAGACGTAGGAAAAACATCGCCTGGAAACGAACCGACATTTCTCTAATATAGAAACTAAAGTGGAGTGCCAGCGAGGTGTCAGAGTACATGATAAGGCAATTTGGTCTGGAGAAACTCGCCCAAGATTGACGTGTTTATCCACGTTACATAAACACAATACACTTTTCTATTAGTGGATTATTCAAAAGTCATGAAGAAATCCAATATTTTCATTTAATCATTATGATAGTGACTAAGATCAAATTCGTAAGACTGACTAAACCTGGAAAATTTAAGTGATTAGCTAACTACCTACTACTGGCTTCTCTATCTATCTATCTATCTATCTATCTATCTATCTATCTATCTATCTCTATCTCTGTTTCACTCGCACACGTACACACTCTCTCTCTCTATCTATCCTCATACATATATAGTTGTATGAGAGGTTAATTTTTCACTTTAAAATAAAGTTATAGATAGATAGATAGATAGATAGATAGATAGATAGATAGATAGATAGTGAATGTAGAAAGATATAATTATTGCGCTCGGATATATATAATGAATGTCTGTAATCTCCTAAGACAAAAATGATCTTCTTATAATGACATCAGATATGAAAATAATGAAGACAATTAGTCGAAGAATAATGATGAAGTCCAAATACAGCAGAGAGTCTGTACATTGTAATTTCTTTTTGTCGATTTATTTTTTTAATCGTAATAATCTTTTAAAAATTGTCAGTCACGTGAGTTAGCGATGGCAACAGACCATTTTTAACAGTGCATGTTTAATTCTTACAGTGTAAACAGAACTGAAAGCATCAGAATCAAATTTCATATGTGTCATAGCAGAATTTTTGCTAACGGGTAATCCTATTTCGCTAAGTAATTGTTAGACTCTCCCAATTTCGGTATTTCTTCTACTAAGGTTAACACTATACAAAGGTCAAGAGCCACTCAACGTAAAACATGACTGAAGGAGGTTGAAGGGCAGTTTATAAGTATATGTGAGAAAGATATATTTTTATGGGTTCAGATTATAGTGGTCGGGAAAGCATCCTCATGGGAGTCGGTTTCACAAAGTAGTTTCCGTGTGAACAAGCTGTTCCAGTGGAACTGCCTTCTTACTAAATCTTACGGCCATATAGCGTTGAAACACCGCTTCGCGTACGATCACCGATGTTAAGCAACGTCGAGTCTGATCACTACCTAGATAGGTGACCTCTTGGGAATACCAGGTTCCGTAAGTTTGGATGTGCGGGTGCTGTAATGAATAATGACTCGGAATTGTTAATCGGAGAGCCGAGTCCCAATTTCAGCTGGGTTCGTTATATTCTCTTCCGCGCAAATACACTTGGGAAATGTATGAATCCACCTCTTCTCTCCTAGCTATGGGTTAATTAGTAAGAGTTGTATAGCGGCTCGAATTGAGGAATCGGAGAGCTGAGTTCGAATTCCAGTCGTATCCATTACATTCACTTACGTGCTATACCCTTGGAAAAGGTATGAATTCTCTTCTTCTCCTCTCCCTACCCAGCTATGGGTAAGTAGCAGGACAGTCCGGGTTTTGTAGTCTTGGATGGCAATTGGCCTACCGTAGAAAGAAATGCCAACCTACTGCGGGGAAAAAATCTACTTCGTCAGTTATATATCGAAAGATACATGATTGCCTAAGCGTGTATCACGCATGGCACATAACTGACTGAATCATTAAATCATTATTATATTTTAAAAATTCTTACAATCTAAGAATAATTTTCTCGCTTTAAATAAACTGTAAAGTGTTGATAAGCCGTAAAAAAACGAATCAATCAATCAGTCTTTCTTACTGATGAGATATGAAGAGAATGAAGATGGTTTAACCCAGTCAAATGTCATGGCGGGTTTTAACTGTAAAGGTTGAAACTGGTGTAATATAAATTTTCAGAATATTTTCCATTGAAAAAAGCGATAGAGTAGCGAGAAGCTTGCGTTTCGATGTGTGCCAAAGGGCTTAATTACTTACATTCAGAGGACAAACCGTGTGAATCAAAGTGACGTTTAATGTCTGATATAAAATATGTAACCTTATCCAAAATAAATATTTAAGTTTCAGTATTTTAAAAAAATTACAAAGAAAGAGAAAAAAATGACCAATTCAGAAAAAGATTTAAAATGGTGGACCTAGCTCTAAACCGTCCTGGGTATGACGATAAACTACGTCCAGCAGCAAGGCCTCTAATCGGGATGTTTTGAGGAGCGTGGAACTGCCTTTTAATTGCTGGTGTTCCCAGGTCCACCCTGACTCTAGGGTGGTAGCACCTGTTAGGGTCCCAGCTATGGGTAAATACTTAACCTCCAAACTGGGGTCAAAACACTATGAAGGCGTAAAAATAGGTTTTAATACCAGCAATAGATATTTGTAAAAAAATTATTACAAGCAGTACATTATGGAAATTTTCGAAAGAAGAATTTACCAGCTAAACATTTCTGAAAAAAAATATTACCAGAAATAAAAATCTTGTCGGCATTAAATAACCCATTAAGGTTGATATTCAGTAAGACGAAACCATACCAAACCTGGCTCTAAAAGAATTTTCGAATAAAAAACTATAGCCAGTTGGAAAATCTAAAACAGGAGATGAGTAGGTTAAATGTCAATATTTTTGCTGTATGTGAAACTAGGTGGCCAAGAACGAAGATTTTGTTAGTGACAACCACAGGATTATATATGCAGATGGAGAAAAAAATGAAAAAGGGCTTGTAGTTAAACTGAAAGGAAATACATTATTTACATTACTTTTAACATATCTATTATAATAGTGTATGCACCGACAGCACAAAGTACGGAAGAAAATATCGAATCTTTCTACTCCATGCTAGACAACGCCAAGGTTCAGTGCAAATTACAAGAAGTTACAATTATCATGCGAGACCTGAATGCCAAAGTATCCAAGAAGATGGTAGGGACGATAACTGGTAAATTTGGAGTAGAAACCCGCAACGAACTCAACGAACTCAAAAAATGTTTCCAATGGTGGACGGCTAATGATCAGGTAATAACAAACACCTGATCCCAACAATATCCAAAACGATTATGGACATGGAGAAGCCCTGGGGAGACACTAAAAATTAAATTGACTTCATAACAAAAGATTCAGGAATGCAGTTGTTCACTGCAAAACGTATCCAAGTGCCAACTGCGGAAGCGATCATCTCCCTGTTATATGTAAACTATGAGTGAAACTACGGAAACTGAAGAAGCTTAATGCGACACAGGCTGCATAAAATCCAAGGACAGAACGCTTATATTAAGGAAAGAAAAAATTATTCAGCGTTGAAACGAATATATTGACGAAAGAGAACAACCGACAATACACAGAAATACAGACGGGCCAGAAATACTAGAAACCGAAGTGGAAGTTGCACTGGCCAAATTAAACAGAAACAAAGCGGCAGGGACAGACGTAATTGTAATATAAGTTGTGGCAGCCTTAGATGATTTCGACATAGACAAGATTAGAAAAATAATAAATTAAATCTATAACAGTGGGGATATACCGAAAGACCTAAGCAGATCTATTTTTATAGAGCCGCCTAAGAAACCAGGTGCAAACGAATGTGAACTCCTCCGGACAATCAGTCTAATGAGCCATATAACAAAACTCATCATCCGAATCCTGATTAATAAAGCGCGCAGCAGTCACAGGCCAGAAATAGGACAAGAACAGTACGGGTTCGTTTAAGACACCGGAACAAGGAACGCGATATTTATGCTCAGAATGTTATCAAAAAGATCAATACAAATGTAGAAGAACGTATGCCTGTGTTTTATAGAATACGCAAATGCGTTCTACAAATTACGCCACAAAGATCTGTTAGAGCTTCTCAGCAACATTGACATATTCGGGAAAGACATGAGAATAATCAAAAATCTCTACTGGCAGCAAACCACTTGCATACGAATAAACAATATGTTCAGCAAATATACAAAAATAGAAAGGGGTGTAAGGCAAGGATGTGTCTTCTCACCGGACTTATTCAACCTATACCGCGAGGTTAACAACATAAGATATGCAAATGACACAATGCTGATAAGAGACACTGAAAGGAAACTACAAAATCTCATACAAAAGGTAGCGAAGAAGAGCGAGAAGTACATGGTCATCAGTAAAAAGATCAAAATGTAATTTACAGGTCGGAGACATTAAAATCAAGCAGGTAGAGAAATTTAAATATCTGGGAAGTGTTCTAATAGAGGACGCAAAGTACGACACTGAGATCCAAAGACGTATTTGGATGGACAAAGAGGTATTCCAAAACCTAAGTAAAGTATTACGAGACAGGAATGTTTCGTTGGAAACAAAGAAAAGAATACTAAACTGTTAAGTGATATCTGTCCTCCCGCATGGCAGCGAATTTTGGACAATCTCCTCAGAGATGAAGAAGAGACTCGAAGCAACAGAAATGTGGTTCTACAGAAGGATGCTAATGATACCATGAGATGAACATGTGAGTAACGAAGAGGTTTTGGCGAGAATGGAAACAAAGAGGAAATATAATATCAGGAAGAGGCTGCTGAAATTTCTGGGACACGTAATGAGGAAGGAGGGCTTAACAAATCTGATCCTCACAGGAGGGATAGAGGGAAAAAGGGACAGGGAAAGCAACACGTGACATAACTAATGGACTTGAGCAAGTGAATTGAAGAACAGGGTCTTGGAGAAATAACAAAAAGACAACATTTATTAAAAGCAACAAGGGACAGGGGGAGTTGGAGGGCCGTGATTGCCTACGTACTGAAGGAATACGGCACATAAAAAAAGAAGAATTTTAAAAAACATTGATAAAAATGTAATAGAGACGGTCTTTCCTATACCCGGAAATTAGTGACCTAAAAAAAAAGGCGGTTATAATAACAATGTCTAAAATCAGATTCAATCTTTTCCGATTATGATAAAAAGTACAGTATGATGATTTTTTAATACAATTTTTTTTGCATTTGAAGTCTTTTTTTAACTATTTTATTTGTTTTATTTTTTATATATATCAAAAAACAGAAGCGTTCATTTGTTTCGAGATTTCGCAAACTGTCGTTTTACGAGACTAATTAATTATTGCTTCAAGATTCTGACGAATTTTACTATTGAAATATCAACGCACGAACACACACACATGCACATAGATAGATAGATAGATAGATAGATAGATAGATAGATAGATAGATAGATATGAACAGACTGAAATAAAGACAATAGATGAAGAAATGTTCAAACTACGAAATAAAAACATAATTTGTCAAGTTCCACCAAAAATTGACCAGTTTATCTTTGAGGTACAAATTTTAACGCACAATTATATCCCGTATATATAATTTAATTATAAACCTAACATCATATAATTAACACCAGAATACTTAAGATACCACTAAATCAAAGAAGAAAAACGAAATAATGAGCCAGTGAAGATATCTATATAAATATTTAAAACAATTTAAACATTAATAACAAAAAATTATTTAAGTAAAAAAATGAAAAACATCTACAAAGTCAAGGTCTAGAACACTCAAGAATTGGTAAGAGCAGCGACTGCTTGAAAAACCGGATGTCGGTTTGCTGCATTTGTCTCTTGCACTCAAAACTGAAAGAACAAAAAAAGGTATAAAACCAATAAGAAAAGAATATAGAGATAATAAGAACAACGAAAAAGAGAAGCAACCACGACATTCTACACGTACACACATACACGCAGGGACTGGCATGGGAACGCCCACGCACACACATGTGGGTGCGTCTGCCCACACACAGACGAGCACGCACACACACACACATACACACAGACACAACGAAAGAAAAAAATCAAGCTTGCACCAATGCAAAGTGCATTAAATCTTTTCTCACAATATAAAAGGAGAAAATAAACAGTATTTTGCTGATATCCTCTGACGAGTGGACGAAGTGATTAATGTAGGGTCCGCCTAAGAAACTCTAATATCAGGATGCTGAAGGTAACATCAATCAGCTAAGTGACGAATTTTATATTTGTATTAATCCTATATATATATATATATATATATATATATATATATATATATATATATATATATATATATCGCACATATAGTGGTGGTGTTAATTAAACAGTTCTCAATGTAATATAACAAAGCTATTAAGCATATATTAATAAATATACATATTATCTCTCACCGCTATCATGACTCAGGGGTTTCATGCACGACGCAATCTTCAGTGCTGAGTATGGAATTAG